TTGTTTGGCAGGCTGGACTGGATTCTAATCCACCAGCTCTGGTGTATGTGGGTCACACCCTAGGTGAGCTACAGGTGCCAAGCCAAATGTATAAATTAATGGCTAAGAAGAGTCTGATGCATTTTTAATTACTAAAATTTATAGTAAGGAAAATGGACATTTATTAATATAAATTGGATAGGTGAAATGTATTTTGCTTTGAACTAAGTATGACATAAACTGAGATAGGTAATAGTCAATTATTGCTCTCTGTTGCATATTTAAAATTTACTTTATTAAGAGAAAAACAAATAAATATTACCATTAATTAATAGGAGCATTAAAAACCATGTTAATTGATGGTAGAAAATATGGATCAATGAAAAGAAGATCTCGTTATTTTTGTCATCTTCTCTGCTTTATACTCTTCAGAATGAATACACTAAGCTGATTGAAACCTTTTGCTGTGATCAAGATTGATATGCTGCCTCTGTGTTAGGAAAGAAATCAAGATAAGTTATAGTCAGACTTCTTGTCTTGGTGTGGGTAATTTGTTTGAGGCCATTTGTGTATTATTATAAAAAGTATTATATTACTCAGGAAGATGGGAGAAATAAGTTTAAGAGATGTGTTGTACAATATGGTGACTATATAATAATAGTATATTGTATTCTTACAAAATGCTGAGAGTGAATGTTTAAGTGTTCTTAACATAGAAATAGCTATATGATGTAATTCTTATGCTAACTAGCTAGATTTAGTTTTTCTACAATATGTATATTTCAGAATATTATGCTGTACATGAAAAATACATATAATTTAATCTGCCAATTTAAATAAAAATGTAAACATATTAAATTAAAAACTTAACCTTGGATTATTGACAAGTATTATATGAGACATTGCATTATTCTATTATGTATGACACTTAGGTCAACTAATGAAAGAAATATAGTCTATACTTAAAATAATTCTATAGATAGATCTTATAGATATTTAAGGACTTTGTTGAGTTTTTTGAACCATTTATCTGTTTTTATTAATATCAATAAATTAATCATTTAATTGATGAAAATGTAGGAACAAATGAAGACAATGAGACCCAGTCATGGACCAATGATGACAAGTGGTGGCATTTGAGTCATGGATGATGAATAATATGTGTCTGAAACTCTGAGGTCCAACATAAAACCTAATTAGTCTCTTCCTTTTTTTGAATGGACTCTATGGATGAATGTCAGGAATGTATAAAGACAATTCCCTTGCATTAATTCAGTTTATTTAGATTTATTATTATTAGTAGATCAATGATAGATTCACTAAACTAATATAAATTAATAAATAAAGAAGAGGGCCAAGCATTGACCACCTATGAACATATGTGTGTAGGTGAGAAATATTAATAAAAATTGAAACCACTGATAGTCATTTAGAAATAAATAAATAAATATTTATTTACCAATTTGAATGATTTATCTTACCACTTTGGGTAAGAATCATATAAGTAAGACTCTTACTGAAAAGTAAGAGTCAACTTTATTATTGTAGGTTAGTC